CCTTGGAAGAAAGGCCTGGTGATGTACTTCTGAAAAATCAGCCATTGAAAACCCTATGGAGCACAGTTCTACTCTGACACATATGTGGTCACCATGACTAGGAATCAACTTGATGGCGACTGGTACTGGTTTTAAATTTGAGCCCACGACTGTGCTGTCTATTTTCTGAGATCTGGTCAGTTTAAGTCATGGCAATTCAGGTGCCAGAAGTAAGGACATTGCAAAGACAACAACAAACTTCCGTCAGAGAGCAATGGGTTATCACCAACTCTTTGGTAGAAATTCACAGAATAAAATTATTTGACCAATAAAAAGAAGTTAGAGGTTAATGTTGGGGTCTAAAGGAATTTCTTTCTGTGTTCTCTATTTGAATCATGTGTTATGCAGGTCCAGTTAGATGACCGCTCCAACCTCAAATAGATATTCAGGGTCACTGGTAAGCATCTTTCCTTGTTCTCTGTAGTGACTGAGAACTTTTACAATTTCTTCACAACCACCTCTTTTTCAATATTATCCACTTTCCTAATTACCTACTTCATTAAGAAAGTTGAAGCCACCAGGTGTGAACTACCTCCCTCTTACCCTCCTGCCTCCATGCACTTTTACTCTCACCTCATTCCCTCCAATAGTAACAAGGCCAAGCCTGTGCTCTTGTTCCCATCTACCCCTCTCCCAATGGCACCCAAATGGTGCCACCAACCATTCATTTCTCTCTGGTATCTCCAGCCTTTCCATTTCTCCTCACCTTCTCCTTTCAGCCCATAGACATGCTCAAGACTTTTTTATCCTAAAAGTGAAAACAAAACCCTCCCCTGATCCTTTTCCTTTGGACATTGCTCTTTTTTTAAGTCATACTTTTGGGAAAATATGTCCACAGGGGACATCTAGGCCAATTGGCATAACATACTTCATAAAGAAAATGTTCTACATCCTACTTTGGTGAGTAGCATCTGGGGTCTTAAAAGCTTGCAAGCGACTATCTATAATACATTTATTGATCCCATCCCATCCAGAGCAAAGGAGAATGAACAAAACCAAAGAAACAAAGAAAATGTAAGTCCAAAGGGCTAATGGACCACATGAACCACAGCCTCCCTAGCCTGAGCCTAGAGCTAGCTGGTGCCTGGCTTCTACCACCAATGGCTCTGACAGGGATCAGAATAGAAGGTCTTGGACAGAGCAGGAGAAAAATATAGAACCAAATTCAAATTCACAAAAAAAGACCAGCCTTAACTGATCTGACAGAGATTGGAGGAACCCCTGAGACTATGGCCCCTGGACACCCTGGTAACTCAGAACTGAAGCCAAAGATTATAGACAGGCCTATTAAACAAACAATAACACACGTGAGGAACGTAATTCTTAGTTCAATCAGTTATACCAGACCAAATGGGCAACACCTGCCCAAAAGGCAGAAAGGGACAGGAAAACTGGATGAATGCGCATGGGGAACCTGAGGTATCAAGGGAAAGGGGGAGAGTGCTGACACATTGTGGGGATTGCAACCAATGTCACAGAACAATTTGTGTATCAATTTGTGACGGAGAAACTAAAAAAAAAAAGAAAAAACAAGTATCCACACCCACTGTCTCCACTTTTTTACAGGTGACTCCTTTGTTGATGCATACAGTGATGCTTTGTAATCTTCATATTTTCATGTCTTCTCTGCTACATTTGACAGTGCCACTCCTTGAACTTTCCTGCTTCCTAGATATTTTCATACCACCCTTTCTTGGTTCTTCTCTAATTCCTCAGATCATTCTTTATGGGTTTTCCCAATGGCTTTTACTTCTACTCTTCCCTTAAAGATTGGTATTCCACAGGGATCCATCCGCGGTCAACTCCTCTTCTCATCCTAGGCATTCCCCTTGTATAAATCTTCTGCCTGCTAGACACAGGTACCCGGGGCCCTTAACTACAGTGCTGAAATGGTATTTATCTTACACAACCAGTTACCCTCCAAACCTTCTCCTCTTCCTGTTGTCTATTTCAGGGAATGGTACCATCCTCCAGCCAATTACATGGGAGGAAACATAGAAGTCACAGTGGATGTTTCCATTCTTCTTAAAGCCTAACTTCCAATTAATTATCAAGTGAAATTAATTTCATATCCTAGATATATCTACTTTAGGTCCTTGCTTTTCTCTTCCTACTAAACAACAATAACAAAAATCCAAACCAGTTGCCATTGAGTCGATTCTGACATGATAAGTCCACGTGTTTCAGAGTAGAACTGCACTCCATAGAATTTTCATGGCTGTTATATTTCAGAAATTGATTGCCAGGCCTTTCTTCTGAAGCATCTCTGGATGGATTCAAATCACCAACCTTTCAGGTAGTGGCTGAGTGCTCAACTGTTTGCACCACCCAGGGAATCTGTTTATGTAAAACATATTGACATATGTATATGACTTCAAATAAGCTTATAGAGGTTGTTGCAAAGGTGTTCACCAAAATGATAATAATGTATCTCTGGATGCTAAGATTTTGTAAAGGATCTTTATTCCTTCTTCATACTTCCTTGGGTTCTTTAAATTGTGTACCATAAGCATGAAAATGTTTTTCAAATGGGAGAAAAAGCAAACATAATATCTTGTAGAATAAACTTTTTTCTTTTTTGCCTAATTTATTTAAAGAATGGTACTATCTTCTAGGTATTCAGTTTTTTCTTTCATACGAATAATTAGGTTTGAAACATCATTTCTCTTTTTCCTAGGTCTCATGACCCGTCTCCGCTACCCAGTTGGGCTGATGGGGAGTTGTTTGCCAACCACAGCTGGTTTTAGCTATGGTAAAGTATACTTAAGGAGCCCTAGTGGTGCAATGGTTAAGCACTCAGCTACGAAGCAAAAGCTTGGCCATTCGAACTCACCAAGCAGCTGTGTGGGAGAAAGACCTGGTAAAGATTACAGCCTAGGAAACCCTATGGGGCTTCTACTCCGTCACATTGGGTCACTATGAGTTGGAATCGACTCAACGACACGTAACAACAACAACAAAAGTATACTCATTTGTTGAAGTAAAATATCAAATCCTATAAAGAGTTCACCCCAGTTCCCCATAAAAACCAAAAGCCAAACCAGTTGCCGTCGAGTCAATTCTTACGACTCCTTGTGTGTCATGTGTGGCAACCGTACGAGTCAGCTCTTTTGAGATGTCTATCTAGGTACATTTCTTCTCAAAGACTCCCTCTCTGTAATGCTAAATATGTGCCTTTCATACGAGCAATATAAACTCTGAGAAGAAATGTTTCAGTACTACTTCAAAATTCATTATACATTACCAGAGTATTAATCTTCACCATTTTGATAAATTACAATTCTTTTTATTTGAATGTCTAGGCTTTTCTCTCTGATTACAAGGGTGGCAAGGAAAAGTCTCCTCCCCAAGAGAACCTGGAGCTGCTAAAAGTGACCTCTTCACCTTTTTTAAATAGAACTTGCATGAAGTTTGATTTGAACCATTTTCTAGCAGATGTGATATTTGAAAATCTGTGAGAATAAATAAGAGTCAGGAAATTCTCTTTCTAATTTGGTGACACTTTATTCTCTTAAATTTCTCTCATTAGTGGGACTCAGAATAAACTGAAAAAAAAAAAAACAATAACAGAATTATATTGTATAATGGGTAACCAGGACTCAGGGTCTCATTGTGTTAAGCATTATAGAAGGGCAGTGATTTATGAGTGTAATGGGTGCTTGGATTATTTCTTTGCCCCATAAAATCTATAGTATTAAAAAATTTCACCATTATCAATTTACTTGTTAAGCTAAACATATCCACCTGCTACCAGTTGCGGTTGAGTTGACTCTGACTCATGGTGACCTCATGTGTGTTAGAGTAGAACTGTGCTTCATAATGTTTTCAGTGGCTGATTTTTTGGAAGTAGATTTCCAGGCCTTTCTTCCAAGGTGCAAAGAATCAACTTGAACTTCCAACATTTCAGTTAGTAGCTGAGCATGTTAACTGTCTGCACCACCCAGGGACTAAGTTAAACATGATCCTCTTTAATTTTTTTTAAAAAATTAACTCTTTTTTTTACTAAACTATAACATGAAGGAGCCCTGGTGGCACAGTGGTTAAGCACTCAACTGCTAACTGAAAGGTTGGTGGTTTGAAACCACCAGCCACTCCATGGAAGAAAGATGTGGCAGTCTGCTTCATAAAGATTACAGCCTTGGAAACCCTATGGGGCAGTTCTACTTTGTCCTATAGGGTCACTATGAGTTGGAATTGACACAATGGCAATGAGTTTGTCTTTCGGTTTTTTAAAAACTATAGCATACCTACAGAAAAGTGCATAATTCATAACAGTAGCTTGATTGGTTTTGCTTGGTTTGGAGTACTTTCTATAAATGGAACTGTATACTGTGTATTCCTTTGTATCTGACTTCTTTCTCTCATCATTATCCTGTGAATTTCATCCATACCGTTGGGTGTAGTTGGTTCATTTTCATTGCTGTGTAACACTGCACTACATAACTATACCACAATCTATTAACCCATGCTTCTTTAGATGGCCATTTGGATTGTTTGCAATTTTGGGCTTTTACAATGTTGTTACGAACATATTATATATATACATATCTGATGAAGTTAAGCAGACATTTATGTTCCAGATGTGTTGGATACATATTTAAGAGTAGAATTGCTGGGTCATAGGTTACACACACGCTCTGATTTTGTAGATACTGTCAATTTTCCAGAAGAAGTTGTTCCAAATTACACTCCCATCAAGAATGTATAAGAGTTCCAGTTGCTCCACATCTTTGCCAATATTTAGTGTTCTCATTAAAAAACAACAACAATAACAAAAAATTTTAGCCAATGTGTTGAATGTGTGGTAGTATCTCATTATGACTTAAATTTGTATTTCCCTGATGAGTAATTGTTTTGATCAACTTTTCTTAGGTTTAGAGTCCATTGGATATTCTCTTTTACGAGAGCACACTGTTCATTTTCTACACTTTAAAAAATAGAGTTATCTGTATTTTTCTAATTGACTTATTCATATTTTGAATAGGAGTTGTTGGTTATCTGTTTTGGACATTTCTTCTTCCAATTTTTGACTCACCTTTCACTCTAATGATGGCGTGTTTTGAGGAACAGGATTTTTTTGTGGAGTGTAATCTATCACTTTATGGTAATACTCTGTTTAACAAATATATAACAATCTCAACGTCATGAACATAGTTTCCTATGTTATCCTCTAGAAGCTACTTTTAAATCACACACTATTGGGATGGGAGTACTTAGCAAAGCTGTTGAAACAAGCTGTCTTTTCAACTCTTTTAAATGCATCATTCTAAACTTCCAGCAGATAGTGGTGTTGCTATAAAAAAACAAAAGCAAAAAACCCCAAACCCATTGCCGTCGAGTCAATTCCAACTCATAGCGACCCTACAGGATAGCGTAAAACTGCTCCATAGGATTTCCAAGGAGAGGCTGGTAGATTTGAACTGCTAACCTTTTGGTTAGCAGCCAAGCCCTTCACCACTGTGCCACCAGGGCCAAAAAAAGATTAGCTACTTTTGTTTCTAAAAGTTATTTTTAAAAGTTATTTTTTTCCTGACTTGTTTCTGTTGAATAAGAAAGTATACAGTGACATAATTTCATTACAAACATACATTTATACATGTGGCTTAGATTCTAATGTTAAAAATAATTATTAGTTGAGTTTATTAGATTTTTCCCTAAGGATAAGAGATACCAAGCAGAAAATCTGTTAGGCACAGGAATGGGGAGAGGAGTAGAAGGAATTGAAATGGGGGAGGGAGGGGCATTACAAATTTTATCTGCCTCATGATTTTACTCACCAGGACAAACACAGACTGGGGACATAAATATTTTGGTCCCAGGTCTAGTTTTAGTAGATTTTGTTTAGAAAAGCACAGACGTGTATTTCATTCTGGGTCTCTCTGGGAAGAGAAAGCATGCTTTTACAACCATAATTCATTGTATATTCCTTGCCAAGTATATAGAGTTGTATTTTTAAACTTCAACACTCACTTTCTTGAATTACAGTGGTAGAGTGTTAAAAATCATTACAGATCCTCTCCACTCATTTATGAATTTTTTAGCTTCTCTGTAAAATAAAGTCTGTGTAATTCCTAAATCCTTTTAGCTCTAAAATTTTAATATTATTTTTCCTATTTTTAATTTCTTTGTTTTCCAGAAAAGTGGGAGATCGATCCATCCGAGTTGGCTTTTATAAAGGAGATTGGAAGTGGTCAGTTTGGGGTGGTCCATTTAGGTCAATGGCGTGCGCATATCCAGGTAGCGATCAAGGCCATCAACGAAGGCTCCATGTCTGAAGAGGATTTCATTGAAGAGGCCAAAGTGATGATGTAAGTATAAACAATCTCCAGATAAATATTATATATCATCCTGGTGTCACAGAAAGAGCATGGACCTTGGTGTCAGCCACACCTCCATTTGTGTCACAACTCTGCCCAAGCTGGTTACGTGACTTGGGCAAATTATTTAACTTTTGTGTGACCTGGATGAGTTATTTCACCTTTCCAAGCCTCAGTTTACTCATCTGTAAAATGGAGATGTACAATACCTACCTTACTGGATCAATGTGAGAATGAAATGAGCTAATCTATGAAAGTGCCAGGCATGCATTTTTTTTTCAGCTCAATAATATGTGCTCTTTTTTTCCATCTTCCCAGAGTAAAAATATTGGTTGAGTCTAGGTGATAATATACTGCTCATCTTTTGAAAGGGCATCTCTTAGTGGCCAAAAAATGTTAATGTTTTTGTAAGGATAAAGTATTTGCTTTCAGAGAATTTATGCACCCAAAGCCTTCAGAGAAGTGATTCTGGATCTGCCCTCTTTGTAGACCCAAGGATCCTGCTGTTAACTCCTGTGAGTTCCAAGGAGGCTTTCTGACTCTGACGAACACGTGGCTGTGGTTTACATCTCCAACTGGGGCTGGGCTGAGACAAGCGGTCACCCAGGACACCTGATAATTTGGCATATTTCAAATCAACATTAAAAAATATTTGTTCAACATTTATTTAGAGGAGCAGCTATGTGGTAGAGAAGGAAACCCTAGGTGGCATTACCTAGACGCTCCTTTATTGTACAGAGCAATTAGTTCTGTCCCAAACTGCAGACCCAAATTGGAGGAAAAAAAAAAAAAAAGAGAGATGAGTAACTGGACCCATTCTCCTTTAAAGGCAGAGCAATGATGTATCTTGGGATGTCAACTCCCAAGTGGTCTATCAAAATATACTTTCCACCCACTTACAATGGGAGAAATTCTGAGCGAAGTTTTGATAAACACAATTTACCAGTGACGTCAGCTTCACAATGATGTTTTCGTCTCCCTAGGTCCCCCAGGCACCTATCTAGCCCTTGCACCCTGACATTGTCTGTGCCCAGGGTACACAAACAAACAAACAAAACAAATGCATTGCCGTCAATTCCACCTCACAGCAACCCTTTAGGACAGAGTAGAACTGCCCTGTAGGGTTTCCAAGGAGTGGCTGATGGATTCAAACTGCCAATGTTTTGGTTGGAAGCCATAGCTCTTAACCTCTTTGTCACCAGGGCTCCATGGGTCCAGGATACCTGTTGCTGTCCAGTCTATTCCAACTCATAGCAACTCTATAGGACAGAGCAGAACTGCCCCCATAGGGTTTCCAAGAGTGGCAGGTGGATTGGAATTGCCAACCTTTTGGTTAGCAACCAAACACTTAACCACTGCGCCACCAGGCCTTCTGTATCCAAGATAGTTTTCACTAATTCTAAAGGACAGACAGAAATTGTATTCTTCTGTGTTGAATTAAGTAAGCATAATAAGAAAACAATAAATGGAAGACATGATTCAGGGAGAGCTGAAGCTATCAACCAGTAGCAAAAGAGATTGCCGTTTAAGTTCAGGATGAAGTGATTTGTGAAAGGTTCAAGCCTGATTGGGCATTTGGGGTCAAGATCTCTGAGGGTAATATTTCAAGGGCAATAGAAGATGTATGGTGTGTGGGGAATAGCAACAATTTCTCTGTCCCCTGGCAGTTTACAGAAGCAAGACTGAGGCTAAGGGCTTACTTTTAAGTCAGTTCAGATGGACATAATATGTTTTTTGGTTTGAACACGGCTGATTTTTGTCTGATTGTGAAAAGTGAGACAGGAAGAGTTCCATTTAAGCATCTGTCAGAAATATATTAATCTTTAGAAAATTAAGTAGCTGACATGCACTGAGCTCATAAATGTTTGCACATATTACCTCCTTGTGAGTTTGTAGTTCCAATGTCCCTCCTCTGAAATCTCTCCCCTGACTACCCTGTTTAAGTTGGCACATCCATCCCCAAAAGCTTTCTTTTATAGCACCTTGTGCTAGTTCCGTCAGAGTACTCACCACTACTTTGAAGCATTATGTGACTTTGTTTTTTTCTACCCCACTAGAATGTAAGCTGTATAAGAATGGGGCCTTATTTATCTCTCTTGTTTAACCTGGTGCTTAAAATGATGAGGCTCAAAAAATATTTGTGGATTATTGACTGAGTTAATGAATCCTTACCATAATTCTGAGGTAGGGCCTGTTAATATCTCAGTTTTATGGATGAGAAAACAAAAATTTCGAAAAGTATGTAATTTGTCTGTAGTCACACAACAAGTTATTGGTAGAGCTTCTGATTAAAATCAGAACTGTCAACTGTCTGGACTCAAAGCCTGTGATGTTAACTAATATATTCAACAGTCATTTATTAAGCAACTACTGTATGCCAGATATGACAGCATTGGCATAATAATTAATCAAAATTGTTGATATCCTATGTAGTTTTTCCAGTTAATACACTTCTTCTAATACGAAGAAAAATTTCAAAGATATACTATGCTCTTAATCACTTTACTGAGGGATATAGTCTAAATTGGAAGTCTGTTCTCATGGGGTTTCCAGAGCATCTGCTAAAGGCTACTTAGAGAATAAAAGTAAACCAGTCTGTTCCCTCTGAGACAACTTCAGCCCAATAAAGTCCTATTAAACTTTCTAATATTATCTTTATCTTTTCACTTTGGTTTATATTTTTTATAATATGATCATACACACGAATTCACTTAATGTTCACTGGAAGTAAGCAGGACAGGTTTTAATATTGCTATTTCACAAACGAAAAAAACTGAGGCTCAGAAAGTTTAAGTTGTCTATAGTCAGGTAGCTAATAGAAGATAGAATAATGACTCGAACTCAGGTCTTTTGACTTAGCACTACTATGTTTTCTTTAAATTATACCACAATGCATCACCTTTAAAGAATCTTTCATTTAGTTGTTGAACTATCAGTTGTCTCTCTGAATATAATTTATTAATGTTATATTGTTGTTAAGTGCCGTCAAGTTTGTTCAGGCTCATAGAAAACGACCGTACGTACAACAGAACAAAACACTGCCTGGTCCTGCACCATCCTCACAATCGTTGCTACATTTGAGCCA